CAGTGTATAGATTAGCTTTGAATACTCCTTACAGCGTAACTTCATCTGTACACAGTATAAAAGAAAGTCGCTTCCCGCCACGCCGTCTGTACGCTTAGATCTTTTAAACTACGCAACAGATTTTGATGCGGTTTTCATCTATAGAATAGACAGAATGATATAATTCAATATAATATAATTCTTCTGTCCGTGTGTATGTGACTGAACTCCTCCTAAACGACTGGACCGATTTTGATGATATTTTGTGTGTGTGATATTTACTGTTTATGTCTATAATACCAGGTGAAGGTTTTATATACGTATATAGAATATCAATTATTCGTAAAGTCAGGGGGTGTTCACGTGAATATTTAAGACGCAGGTGATGCAGAAAATTCACCAATCACGCAGATTTATTAGTAACAGCGTGTAAATTACATTACACGCTAGATTTGAACTCCGACTTCACGGTTATAACGTTGGCCAGCCACTCGGCCAACGGTGCTGAGGCCGCACGTAAATGGGGAGTAATTAATCAGGCCTAAGGCGACCTAGATAGCAAGGCCACGAGCATTCTTGAGCGTTTCCTTTGCAAACAGTCAATAGGTAGATACGTGAGGTAATATTTCATTGCATTTATATTTATTCTACGAGTATAGGTACGTTGCTAATGTGTTCATCACTATTTATTTACAACGGTTTAAGTGTAGGTACTTCTTAAAGATGAAATTATGAGAATTGGAAGTTTTTAACCTAGTCTTATATTTATTATTAGCTTTTCAATGTCTCCTCCCATTGCAGTGCGAGGACTCCCCATTTCTTCCTTCTTTTAATAGATGAATACTGAGAATTCTAAACATTTAATGATATAACATTTTTATATTTACGCGAACACTACACATTGAATAAAACCACTTTTACGGATTTTATCACGTTTAATACTATTATTTTTTTAATTAAAAAATAATTAAAAAGCTGAAGGTACTCCGGGTTAACTTTGACATCGGGACGTTAATCACCTCAGTTGCCCGTGACCATGGGTGATGCAAAGCACCCGAAACACCGGGAATCGAAAAAATAAGTGGTATAGAACGCGATAAAATCCGTAAAAGTAGTTTTGTTCAATTTAATATTGTTTTAACTTGCATAATTTACAGTTCATTCGTCACGCTTCACACCAGGATAGAGCTAAAAAAACTATCCATCATTTTTTATTTCCCACAAGAAATAGTATTTTCTATTGATAAATCCTTTGGTCAGTTGTTTTGGTACACTCATCGAACGAAATGAGGGAATTGATTTTTATCAGACTGCTCCAGAAGGATAATATTTTTTGAGTGTAATATGTACTATGTATGTCTATTTCTTTAGCCAGAGCGTGCAGCCAGCCTAAACGGCTTGATGAATTTTAACATATCGCGTGTTTGAAAATTTTTCTCTTTTTTATAAAGTATATAAAGTATTTTTATATGTATACTCAACCAAATCTAAGAAATAACTTTTGACGTTTCACATTAATGATTCCACAATAACTTTGTCAAAGCGTACACTTATCTACTCTGTGGTAAATCCAAACAATTATGATGTTGCTTATATTTGGAAGTAAAGACTAGAAACTTTAGGCCTAGTCAGTTTGAATAGCCTATCATGTAGAGGATGCCATGGGGGTCATGGTTGAATAACGGCAAAAAGTTCTCATTACACCCCTAGAGGTCAAAATGGCCAAAAATCAAAAAATAAAAATTCTTATTTCGGCTATAACTCCGCCTCCTTCAGAGGTTCTTACACAGTCTTTACTTCCCGTATCCCACTTGTTCATTACAACATATATATTTCTTTATCACTAATTTAAATTATAATCTTTCAAACAAAGCAAAATATTTTTTTTACCAGAACTATCTTTTATGCTTGACGTTGTGTCAATGATAAGACGTTATACACCTTATTTGGATGATTCAAATTCATGCTAATGCGAATAATCGGTAAAAATATTGAAATAATAGAATTTTCATTTTTAATTTTTTTATTGTTTATTTAAATAAACACCACTGTGGCGAAGTTACGAGTAAGTTTCGAAGATGCCGGCTTGTACAATGGTAGTACCTATAGATTAATTGAGAACCATTTGAAAAGACATTGGTTTCCGATACAAAAAAAAATGATTATAGTAAAATAATTAGTTACAGATATAAACGTAAATAATAACATTTTTACGAGAAATTAAAAATATAACAAATTGAAACAACGTTATATTCATTGGTAAAACATGGCTAAACGCCAACCACACTGTGCCTCAGACATGGCCAGAGACACGTGACCGTGATAAAATGTAGGTGCCTCATAATTTGCCATGTGGGATCCGACGGAGGAGGATTTGTAGAAAATACAACAAGCGATCACTGGGCCAAAGTGAGAGAGAACACAAAGAAAATTGTTATGGACAACTATGAAAGAGACATTCATTTTGAATGCATTATAGAAAAATAAAATTAATGCAAACAAATATGATAACAACGACAGCTCAACTAGTTGTAGTGAAAGTGATTAAATAAATTTGCTTTTAATCCAGTGCGGTCTTTAATTTATTATAACTTTAACTCTAGAAATTAGCAGTAAGCAATAAATGTGAAAAAGCTTATAAAATTTTTGTTTAAAGTTATCCGTTTCTAATTTATTCTAGTGTTAATCTAGATAAAACTGAAAGTTAATGATTACCAACTCTAAAGAATCGATATCGATAACTATTATAATCCAATATTTTAGGTACTAATTTTTCAAATGGAGTGCTTGTCAAAAGGTATTTCTTAGATTTGATGGCATATAATTAAGGTTTTTTATATAACAAACGAGCACACAGTCAATCTGATGGTAAATGAATGCTATGGGCCCATAGATTTCTACATCTATTCTCGATTAAGAATCGAATTGCAGATGCGTTTTGTTTTCAGTGAACTTTTTTACGCAGTCGGGTTTCTTTAATCACGAGGTTTCGGGTTCGTACGCGTATATCCAGGATTCGTCACCTGATACGATGTTGTATATAGCATTTGAGGATCCTGCGTGGAATCTTTCGAGAGTTCTGACGCACCAAGTAACGCGAGCCGCTTTTTGCTCTTCACAAAGGGAATGAGGTATCCATCGGAAAACAACTTTTTTACACCTAATTGTTCATGCAAGATTATTTGTATTTGACTCATGCCAATGTCTAAAGTTGCCTGAATTTCGCGGTATGTCACATGTCGATCTTCCTCAATCAGCTTGCGCACAGCATCAACGTTTTCTTGGGTGACAGCAGTTTTTGGACGATCTTGACGGGGATCATCACTGAGCTTGACTCGTCCACGTTGAAATTCAGCAAACCAGCGATAAATTGTAGTTTTGGATGTGGCTTCATCACCAAATGCAGAAATCATCCGGTCAACACACTGTTTTGTGTTAAACCACTTCGAAAGTCATAATAAATCATCGTTCTTCAATTTGCTCGAGTCAATTCCATTTTCTCAACGACTAAACAAGTTTGACAAAACCTTGTGACAAGACCGAGAATCTTTTTTTAAATAAATAAATGGTATTCGATTTTTAAAACCAAGGAGTTTTCAATTAAAAAGATTTTAATATGAGAGGAACAGTGGAAATATTCCATTCCCGATACTTTTAGTGCAGCCTATGTACTGCTTAACCATTGGGCTTGTTGCCTGCCATCATACGGTAAATTTACATGGTTGCCTTCCATACCAGCTCTACATTGGTTTAATATAAGAAGGATAATGTTTAAATGTTTAAACTGATTCACTGTAAGATCATCTCGGAATACATGTGGTTTAAATAACAACCATGAAAAAATTGTATGGTATCTCTTTATACTCAAAGTAGTTAGTAGACCAAGGTTGACAAGTACAAATCCTCTTAAGAATTATAGAATAAGTGACGTGATAGCTGATGGCATCTTGATATATTCGACACGATTATCGCTTATGTTCTCAGCACTTTATGACATAAATTAGAATGAACAGCGTCACCCAATCACGCTGATGTACTCATAGAAATAGTTATGGGTTAAAATTTGAAATGCAAATTTTGCACGGGCGCCATGTGAGGTGGGAATGTAGGTTTGCTCGCGTGTCGAAAGCACACCATATCTGATGCATGCTCGTTTGAAATATGGGGTGACGTCACGGTTTAGCCTCGGTTAGCCTATGAAAGCTATGTAGGTGGTTCAGTTCCCAGGAATTCTAGAATTAACTATATGCGATTTCAGTTTTAGTTTAATACGAAATTAATGCCTCGCACTCGCGAAATCAGATTGCAGTTAAAGGCCAACCACTTTGGATTAGTATGTTTGTTTAGTGTTATGTATAAAGTCGATAATTGATTGAATTTTGGAGAGAAATCAGGCAAAACATTATATGTAAAAATAAACAATTAAATACTCTGTAATGCCATTTCCTGTTTAGTGATGTTTACTTGTAACCGATGGCAATATATAGGCTTAGGGGTATATTCGAGTTTTCTGATATGTGAAAATTTTATTACACATCATTTATACATATATTCTTTGAGCTTATATTATTTATTATGAGCTAAAGATAAGTAAAAAACAATAGCAAAGTACATGCATGTACAAAGGTAATTGCATACGTGTATATTATACCCACACACCGTTTAAAGTGTAGTGGCGGTGTAGGAATACCCACTACCCCGTGTCTTCCTGTGGGTGTCGTTAGAAGCGACTAAAGCAAAACTAAAGCAAACAAACCACGAGGTGGGGGCAGCAGCGTCTTCCAATAACAACCAAAAATAAAAATAAAGCGGCTGTCAATCCCGCCAAGTCATTTGTTGAATTGTTGAAGTGAAGAGTTTTGTTGGGCTAACGGTAACGGTAACTAATGCCTACACGCATATACATATTATACATAATATATGTAGATATAGACGGATATAGAAAAAAGATTTGCTAACATTTTAGCTCCTGTATAAGCTGAAATGAATAAACATAGAAGAATGTTGTGGAATTGATTTACCTTTAGTGTCGATATTGGTGGGAGCGGCGATGCTCGGTATCTCCGGTTGCGGTGGCTGCACTCGAGGTCCAGGCCAAGTGGTGGTGCCGCCGGTGCAATACCTCGGCCGAGTACTGCTGCAGCCGTCCGCAGCATCGCGCAGAGTAGAAGCGTCAGCCGAGTACTCTGCAAGTGAGATCACTTTCGCTGATCTAAACACATTACTTTAAACAAAAGATTAAAACGTTTGTAGGTTATATCTGTGCGATTGAGGAAAATAGTAAAAAAATATTTCAACATCGAACTCAGAGCAACAAAGAAAGAAAGCAAGACGGAGCACCGCGTATGTTTGAAATGTTATGAAAAATCCATCTTCCGTAGGCTCTCGGTATCTCGCCTAACGAACGTTCTGAGTACAAATTATTTTTAGGGTAGTCTTTGGTAGCTGCAACTTAAAGAGGTACATATAGTAAGTACCTAGTAAAGCAAAAGAATAATAAGATGAGACAAAGTATAAAATATTTTCATAGCTTGTAGAAGTAATGTATATTATTTTTTAGGAAATATATACTTCTCGTTGTCGAAGATTGCAGAAGGCTGCCTGTTTGCCCGCCGGGGAAAGTGGCGTTGCGTTTGTGTCGACCCTGTTGACAAACAAAAAATCATAAAGTATGCGATACAAAAATCAAATATAAATTGAAATTTTGTATTGGAAATCTATAATTTATATCTTTCTAGAAGTTACTAGACTAATTTCACATTCCACCCGTATCCTTCATCATCATCATCATCATCATTACAGCCTAACAAAACTCCACTGCTGAACATAAGCTTCCTTTATAGTTTGCCGCTAGGAGTTTGGAGCTTTTTACCACACAGAAAATGTTTTCGTTATAAATTAGGTATGATTAACATTTCGGGGTAAAACATTCCACTAATACATGTAAAAATTAATTCAAACTTTAATGAACTTTATGTGAGGTTCATACTTAAGAAAAAGGTTAGAATGCAAACAATTGGACCTTATTTTAACGTTTAATTTCATTCAGCTCTCTTCTTGTGAGTGATAGAGGTTATTAAAAATATTATAAAATTATAGTTCTGAGTGTATGTTTGGATGATTAACCTTCAATCACGCTTAAGCGGCTGGATATGCTCGATATGCTATGCCAAAGGAAAATATGTTTTCATTAGGACCTATAATGAAATCTTTGGTATAGGGGTCGATTAAATAAAAGGATAATTGACTTCTATGCGATACACGGATACTTTTATCCATGTATCGCATAGAAGCTCCGGTAAGGGTTAGATACGTTTATATGAATATGGTAATATTAACTGTTAGTGTTAAATATTACGGTAATTACGCGTTAACGTTCAATGACATGTGCGTACAACGTAATTATAGAGTCTCCGATATAAATATGCATATATCTCTAAATGTAGGCCTAACACAACGAAACTAAAGCAAATTGCAAATTCCTAAACTATAGCAACCGCTATAGGATTCAAAATTGGTTAAAAGCGCCTTGACACAAGCTACGATGTGAAATTGTTATTAGAAACCCACGCGTTTAATTGTTCGAAAGCATTATAACTCGTTAACGGGCAGACGGCGGACGATATTTGTCGATACTGCCTACCCTAATGGATTAATTGACGTTCCCGGCAAATTGCTTTTACGATCTTGTGCTTTTTATTGAATTTTTCCGTTCAATGCGAGTATAGGCTACATTATATTAATATTTATTGTACAGTTACAATCTATATAATATACGTCTCATAGCTGGGCACAGGCCTCGTTTCATTTCTGATGAGGTTTTGGAGCAAGTAGTCGGTCGTGCACACGTGCACCTCCAGTGCGTGTTGACGGTCCTCAAAATATTTTTATTCCTCTGACACCCAGGTTTATTCACGATGCTTTACTTCATCGGATCGAAGGATTTTCGAAGAATTGAACCCGGGATGATCGTGCCACGGCTACGAGATTCCTAAATTAATAAATACCTACAAAATTAACTAAAGCTTGCATTTATTTCTTCAGACGGGTCCGGTTTATGTGTGAAGTATTAACGGAGGCCCTTTTTATTGGAAACGATGCATTTTATCTTCAGGGGTGACAACACATCTGAATTTTGATTCGTAATCGAAGATAGATGTGAATGTCTATGGACCACGGCATCCACTTACAATCAGGTGGACTCTGTGCTCGTTTATAAACCTTATTCTATAAAAAGAAAAATATAATAAAAATTCTGTTATTCGGCAACATTTTAGCTCTCGGAATTTGTGGAAATATGAATCACGAATTAAACAATTGGCTGGTGAGATGAGTCATGAGTGCATGTTACACCTGATTGATTATACGCGACACCGTCTAGAACTCTCACTTCGAAGAATGTTTTTAAAGACTCGAAAGTCTATATGGATAAAAAAAAGAATTAATTATGTGTGACGCATAGCGAAAAGCGTCTGACGAACGACTCATATAAATATCTGAAAGCTAACACGAACCTACACTATGTCGAATAGAATTTGCGAGTATTAATCACATCCCGTGTTATCTTATCAAGTAACATGTTATTTTCTTTTGAAAAGTTCCTAGAAACATTTTATGTGTTACAAAATATATTAATGTTGATTTTAGTTTGCATTCGACGATTATGTAAAAAACAATTTAAGTAAAAATGTCGTTTACTATAAAATGTATGGAGGTTTTATAGTACGCTTATTAGTTGATTTTTCAGATTTATTGCAGATGTATTAATGGATTAAGATGTGATGTTGATGACAAGACGTTTGGGCCCAACAGCGAGACGCATATGAACTGTAATCTTTTTTTAATTAGCCTTCTAAAACCCTTTCTTCCGCTTGATGTAGGGTATAACCATCTCGTTTATGCTACGGGGAACACCGTCAAAGATGACTGACGTCTGATCCTGCGATCATCCATCTGCCAAGCATTATTAGGATAACGACTTATCAAAACCTCCCTATACAATAATACTTATGTACACAAGTGGACTTTTGCGATCTGACGTCGGAATAAAGCTTTGGCTTCACACACTGCAGGCCTATTCGCTAACTCTGTGGACATCGCAGTAAGAGTAACTTATTAGTGCTTTGTAGTACATTGCGTCTCATGTTTTAAGAGCCGTGGTAGCTCTGATAGATAAGCTATATACAATATGCAATGTACTTCAAAGTGACAATCGTTGTGCTATCAATAAAGTTAACGAATAGACCTGCAGGTAACCATTTAAGTAGTTATATCTGTACTCAAGTCAGTTTGGTAGAATACCTCTTTTTTAAGGAATGCGAATATTATCATCAAAACCATTATTCCCTTTCAAAAGTCCGCTGATGAACATAGGCCTCTCCCATAGATTGTTTGATAGGGCGGATATTTGCCATAGTTGCCACGTATGGCAAGCGGGTTGGCAGATTTTTTTGCATTATTCAGCTTTTATCTGGAAAATGTTGCTGCCCTTCTCCTGGATCAGTTTCCCTCTGTCGCCTCTTATGACACTCACGGGACAACATGGGATACGATAAGTTACACCGCCACTACAGAGTGATTTTATAGAAGTGAGTGAATTATGTATTGCAAGTAGCAATAGAAAATTTATTATATTTGTTTATAAGTATTTATTTTTATAACACAACAATATAACACCTGATAAACAGCTTAATGACCGAGAGTGAACAATTCTGACAAAAAAAAAAAATAAAGAGGAGCGAACGTTAAGCTTAATGCGTCGTGATTAAAGTAGTTAAGTTGATATAAGCGTTAATAAGTAAACTGTTAACGCTTAAGCGCGATGCCCAAGTTTATAGCTCGTACGTGACCGAGCTGGCAATATAAAATTAATCGAGCGAAACATAAAACAATATCAAACTGTACGGGCGCCGGCGCCGCGCACCGTTACTAAAAGATAGATTTGATTAGGTCCATTAGTTCGTTGAACTCGGCTTTTTATTGATATACTAACATACGAATTGCAAAAGTTGCTTATATGATCTCTTATACAAATAAATGCATCGTATGTAACACTAGAGATCCGCTTCGATTTCGCCTGAATTGTATCTACTAATGTGTTCAAGTTAAAATTACAGCCTGTGTACTTCCCACTGCTGGGCACAGGCCTCCTCTCATTTCTGAGAGGGTTTTAGGGCAAGGAAGTGTCCGCCGCGCTGCCCCAATGCGTGTTGGCGAACTTAACATGTCTTCGAAATACTTTTTTTGTCTTATTTATCAGACATGCCTCACGATGTTTTCCTTCACCGCCGAGCACGTGGTAAATCAGCACTTAAAATTGCAACGAACAATTTCATTGGTGTCGGCGGGTATCGAACCCGGGTTGCTCGCGTTCTGTGAAATTTACCGCGAGCGCTAACCATCTGAGCTACCACGGCTTAATGTGTTACTTCATAAATATTCGCTTTTTTTTTCTAAAAAAAAAATCTTTAAGTTATTTGGGTGAAATAGATAAGGCCTAGCATCGCATCACTCTCTATCAGTTGGTAAAGTTTTATTACAATAGGCTCAGCCATTCCGAAGATTATCCCAGGCAGAAAGACAAAATTTAAAAATGGTTATTTGCGTTTCAATAGTATGCAAATAACCTCTCGAGTTTATTTTAATATTACAGACATACACCACAATTTTATTCATATACTAACTGTTCCCCGCGACTTCGCCCGCGTTTTATTTGAGGTTTTATTTTTATTGCGCGGAACCCTAATTCTTTGTCTAAAATAAAAGTAGCCTAAGTTACTCCTTGTGACACCAGCTATCTGCCAGTGAAAATCCCGTCAAAATCGTTCCAGCCGTTTTGGAGATTAGCCGGAACAAACAGACAGACAGACAGACGGACAGACAGACAGACAAAAACTTTAAAAATTGTATTTTTGTTATTAGTACCGTATATACCTTCATATACATTTAGTAAAAAACTGTAATTTTGACATTACAAACAGACACTTCAATTTTATTTATTTGTATAGATATAATATATATATATATATATATATATATATATATATATATATATATATATATATATATATATATATATATATATATATATATATAACGAAACGATTATAGTAACAATTTCAAACAACAGGTTATGCTTTTGACAAGGTTTACGTTTTATTTATTTATTATTTGGTTCACCAACAGATCTAACACTAATATTACTACTTATCGGATATTGTAATAAAAATCTCTAATTGAAAGAAAAAAGTTTTAAATAACCTTTTTCTTCCAATTTAAGTTATGTAATTCTGAATATATCGTCGATATAATTCTATTATCAATCCAGCTAGAATATTATTTAAAAACTGGCAAAGTGCGAGTCGGACTCGCGCACCGAGGATTCCGAACAAATGTGTGTAGGTAAATAGGTTTAAAATTATTAAAAATATTTTTATTATATGATGTAACTAAAAATTTATGCTTTTCGCAATTTTTCCTTTATCTGTGCTATAAAACGTTGTTTCGTACCAAATTTCAAGATTCTGAGTTCACGGGAAGTACCCTGTAGGTTTTGATTCCCTTGCGAATGTCGAAAATTTACGGCATAAACGGCTGTATCTTTTGATTGCGTTGGCTTAGAAGTTTGATTTTTTCACAGCTCTA